CTTATTACAAAAGCAAATGAACAGACTGTTGTAACCTAGAGAAAGTTACTGAATAGAATAATCACACGAAGGTTGGTATTGAACGATAATACTTAGGACACGAACAACACACATCAGATTCGCCAGCGGCGCGTAGAAGTAGTCAACTGCTAGAAGTGAGTCAAGTGGATTCCATAATGAATCTCTAACTGCAGGATAATTACCAACCGCTCCACGCGGCCAGATGTGACACAAGGCCGAATTTAATATGGGGTATCCGAGACCTTAGGCTTGGCCCAAAATTCCCCGTAAACCACGTATAAAATGGGATCGGGTAGCCGTTTCCCGAGACGAAACTTTGCCCTTCGACATAGCCTCATCTGGGGATCCTCTCTGTCCGGAGACAGAGAGTTTGACCAGCACAAATGGAATCGAATCTCAAACTGCAGGCCAACATACTGTATTTTCTAGAATGGGGACATACCCATTATCGTTCGTAGGTATGCTACAACACAGACAAATAAGTGGAAATTATTACAAAATGAAGAGTAGATATTGAAGTTTTTAAAAACTAATTTAATATACCTCTTTATGGGCACCATTAGTTGCACGAAGTACATCAAGACAGTATTCAATTTCTTGCCATGTTTACTGTAGCATAGCCTCATTAATGGTGGCAATGGCGTCAGTGATCTTTTACTTAAAGTCTGTGATGTCCCGAATCTTTGTTCGATACACGATATCTTCACCATAACCCGATAGAAAGTCCAAGGGAGTGATATCTGGTGAACGAGATGGCCAGGGAATTGGGCCATCCCTTCCAATCTACCGGTCTGGAAATGTTTGATTTAGGAACTCACGAGCAAGCAGTCCCCAGTGTGGTGAAAAATGATGGTTGCTTGAAGGTCATCTAGTTGTGGTGCCACATCAATTGCCTCTGTAATATATATTTTTTTAAATTGTAAAGAGACTTTATGGACACCCTGTACTTTTCCAACCTTCGACTCGGGCGCTGAATATTGTGCTCGAAGGTCTGGATAAACTGCCCAAATTTCATATTTTGTTTTTGTTTTGTTTAAGTATTTTAGACCATCGTAGACATTATCAAGAACCAATGTGGTGTCTGTGTGATAGTTAGAATTCCTTTGTCTACATCCTGATATTTTTTGGGAAGCTGACGTGAGACGATTTCAAACTTCCAGCTTGCCAGAGAATAACAAGATGTTCACTAAAAAATTCTAACACACAGACACCAGATTGCTTCTTGATAATGACTGCGATTAATTCTGGAAAAATATAATAACAAATTAAACAGACATTGTCGATTCTTTTAATCAAAACTGTTAGGATGAATGCCAAGTGCCTAAACATACCTTATTCACACACACACACACACACACACACATATATATATATATATATATATATATATATATATATATATGGTGTGTGTGTGTGTGTGTGTGTGTATACACCGGAGGGCGCAGTTAGATGAAATGCAATACTTTTAAAAATAAACGGAGCATCGACTCAAAAACGGCTATGCACTAATAACGTTTAAAGTAATAAAATTCTCTCTCTCTCTCTCTCTCTCTCTCTATATATATATATATATATATATATATATATATATATATATATATATTTTTTTTTATGTTTATACGTTATTTTATAGATACAAATATTCAGGTAAATGCTCATAATATGAAAGAAAATCATGGGGAATTGTAGTTTAAAAACAGTAAAATCGACCTAGTTAACCGAAACGCTCCTCTGTGGCTCATTCGGTAAAAGCACGTTAGGCTATATGACGGTTCCGTATAGGATACAGGTTCGATTCCTCACGGTCGACGCATATTTTCTATGAAAATTTCTCGGACATTCAGGCCAGTAAATGTTGTTAATACTGTTTATTATAAAGAGAGCATTTACTTAAATATTTGCATGTATAAAAAAAACGTATAAACATAAAAAATGTCTTAAAATAATTGTCAACCGCTCAAGACCTACTCAAACACGAAGAATCTTCGTTGTGGCTGACATATCAGCAACCATACATAATTCATGCGGTGGAGGTACCAAAGAGGAAAGGACATTAGAACAATTTCCATGAAAATATGAGTAGAAAAGACAGAGGGAAGTCGTGGCGAGACTGAAACCGACATGCCAAGTCAGGATTGATTACATTACAGACCCTTGTTTTGGTTTTGTAAAGACTATATATATATATATATATATATATATTAAAGGGAAAAGAGAAGCCGCAAACATTTTTGGTTATCATATGGATTTTTCCACATATATTTTACTTTATTTTCAATATTTTTGCTCCACGTGTTTCAGGTCTCATGACATTCATCAGGCTAAGAATGGTTACTTCCACATATTAATTAAAGGAATTAAATTTTTTTTCCTTATGTTTTCTCGTCTTTAACCATTGTCTTTTGTGGGTGGTAGTAATCCAAATTCTTTTTGGACTGGTTTAAAAATCTTACTTAAGCTCGGATACCCCACTTTAAACTCGGCCTTGTGCCACATCTTATGCACGCTGTATAATTGTAAACTTTTATCCGTTTTTGGGTATTGTGTGAGTGTTTCTTTTTTTTTTGCTTGTATGTGTATATATATTGTTATGTAGTGGGTTTCACAGTCGAGGCTTGTATTAAGTCGGTCCTAAAATAGGTTCGACGTACAAAACGTTAGGAACTTGATATAATAGGTAATGACGCAGTAATCTAGTTGGGGTGGCTGATACTTTAATATCCGACTAACGGTCGTCCGACATTGACTGACTGACCAACTCTCTGAGCGACTGCTACTACTCCTACTTATTATAGGTGGGAGAGTCTATTAACTATAGAATATGTGTGTTCCACTATAACATATATATACCTTCTCCATATATATATATATATATATATATATGTGTGTGTGTGTGTGTGTGTGTGTGTGTGTGTACTTTGCTTAGCTTTTTGAAGCCATTTTTCGTTATTACAATGCTTCTTCGGATTTCACTGTCGCATTTTCAGTCCTCTGTTAAAACATTTAAATTTCATATATTCGGGGCACCAGGAAAAAAGGTCGCCAGAGCAGCTGCCATGAAAATATTTGTAGAAAAGACAGAGGGAAGCCATGCCACGTCGGTGAGAAAGTGACTGAAGTCAAGATGTCAGGTCAGGATCGATTACATTACTGATCCTTCTTTTGATTTTGTTAAGAATCTCAAGATATATATATATATATATATATAACAGGAGCACTAGACCAGATATGGCAGCAATATTCAATGCGTAGATGAATGATAAATTTGTAAATGTGCAAGATGGACTCTGACCCGACCCAGTGAACCAACTTTCTTTGCAGTGGGTAAAGTCAAAATGCCTGGTCAGGATCGATTACATGACAAATCGTTCTTTGAATTTTTTTGCCAAGAAAGGTGAAATGTTGTAAAAACCTGAGCGGAAATTCACCGTGGATGATCTAGCGATCAAAGCACTTTCTATACACTTTCGCTGTAGTAAATTGCTTTCATTTTTAATTAGATATTAAAATATTAAATATTTAAATTCCTTTCTCTTTTAATTGAATATTTTAAACATATTAATAATATTATATATCACATTCTCCCCTATAAGGTTTTATCATCGTGATCATAAATGTTACTTGCGTGGTGCAAGACAGTAGAATTGTATTTAAAATATTTGGTTTAATATTAGGTGGAATGATATATAAGATTTCTATTTCTATTGTTTCTTTAACAGGAACATTAGTAAACAGACTTTTCAAAGTATAACTCGGCTAGGGTGCCATTGTTAGGTTTATTTGAATGCAATTTGTTAAGGAACTTATTGGCGGAATCAACGCTAGATATTTTAGATACTAGCTTAAAAGCAGCACTCAATGCAAACTTGTAAAGTAGTTCCTGAGGTGGGTGGGGCTAATTAGGCCCCCGGCTCCAGAGTAAAAGAATCTCTGGTCTAGCTTAGAAAACAGCAATGATATTTTGAAGAAATAACTTTGAATTTCTCAATTCCCTCTATAGAACTTTAAAACCTCGCTTTAATTTTGATTCGAGCTAAAAGTCCAATTCCGGCCAAAAGATCGATTTGGGCCAGAACTGCAATGAGGGCCGAAATTCAAATTTAGGTCGAAAATTGAGTTTTTCAAATCCCAAAATCTATCGAACTTGAATTGTGTTGAGTTCTTCAAATCAAAACACTCTGGTCCTTCAAAAGTTTACGTCACGAAACCTCTGATTTTAAATCTGATTCCTTGGCATTTTGAAGAAATAAAATAGATGTCCTCAATTCACAAAGTTTTGGGGATATTTTAAACAGAATTTAAATTCACAAAGATTTATGTTACTTAAAAATCAGTATACTTTAAAATCACCATTTTTTTAAAAATTATTTTAAATTTTGATTTTTTAAGTGTTCCCTCCACATCCAGACACAAATCCCAATGCTGAATGTTCAAGTACAAGATGAAGGGCATATTTTAAATCCCGGGATCATCTTGATACACAAAAGGTATAATATGTTTATGTAGAGCAAATGTGGCCAGAGTTATATGGATTTCGGACACACGGACAGACAGACAGAATTTCTCGTTTATTTATTTTGATAGAAGTATGGTTGAATCGGTTTGATTAGACGTTTAGGTAAATTATATACAAGAGTGGGGAATTAAAGGATTTTTATTACTTTTAGATGTTATCTAAACGTCAGTTCTGACGACGTTTTCTCGTGCCTAGGGGTGGCGAGTCCAAATCTCACCGGGGATCGCATATTTTTTTAATAAGATATCACCAATATTCAGGTCGGTAGACGAAAATAAATCAATATATTGTTTAATAAATAAATGGAGCGTCTACTCAAATATGAGCATCCATTAAGATAACGTTTAATGTATATATATATATATATATATATATATATATATATATATATATATATATATATATATATATATATTGTGCAGTGTGTGTGTGTGGTCCGTCTAGTATGTTTGTTTTTTCCAGTATGCATATATCTATCTATCTATCTATCTATCTATCTATCTATCTATCTATCTATCTATCTATACTTTTACAAACTTTGAGGGCTTGTTCCTCACACTAAATAAGCACATATTTCCATATAAATATATTTCTGCAGATCCTTCGTTTTTAAGTTATTAAAGTTTAAGGTATATGGCTCTATGTTGCCATATAGCCGTGGTTACATTTGTTATTCGTGTACATTTGTGGCCAGTCTGTTTTGAACATTTAACGTCTGTAATAGTGAGTTAACTGAGAAGTGTTCCGTTTTACAATGGCAGGATATTCATATCGTGAGCAGGCAGATATGATTTTTACATAAGGCTGCGCGAATGGTAATGGACGCGAGGCTACACGGATATATCTGATTGAATTTCCAAACCGGACAGTCATGACACCCAACCTTTGTTGCAGTTTATCGTCGTGTTGCTGAGACAGGATCTGGGGCACTACAAACTATGGTAATAAGTATTTTTGAGTGTATCTTGGATTGTATATTTAAGAGCGTCTACCGTAAACTTTAAACTTTAAACTTAATAACACAAAAAAACGGAAGATATGTTCATATGGACTTTTGTCCTTGTTTTATATACCATATATATATATATATATATATATATATATATATATATATATGTAATAATCCGTTGGTATATAATCCAAGTGAATTCTAATAATATAAAATATTAAAACTGATCTACAAATATAGCTCAATGTATTTATTATAACAGAGCATATATAAGAATTCAGAAATTACCCCATTTGTAATGTTGAGTTTCTATTCTATGTAATATATATATATATATATATATATATATATATATATATATATATATATATTACTAATAAGAAAGTCATCTTTATTCTAAGACATCAAATGCTTACATCGATTTGAAATGTGTAAAACACGCATCAATTATTTTTTCACGCTCTTCTTTTTTTTTTTTTTTTTTTTTAAATCTATGTGTTTATTTATTTTTTTACTAAGGTCTTTATTTCTCTTTTCCGGATTTTTATTCCAGGAAATTGGCTCGGAAACTAAAAACTAAACGAAATAAACACTTTTCCTTACCAACCCGATTCTCAACTCTCACGAGATTTCCTACAAACAACGCAATGAGAAAAAAAACAAACAGAACGTAGTGAATAACAGGCCCCGAGATCAATGACAAAGGCTGTTTTTCAAGTTGCCGTCAGACTTAGGTTTTTATTTTTCTTTTACTTAATTATCTGGCTTTTTTCCATTCTTTCGTTTTTCACTTTTTCTTTCTCATTTTCTCTGTCATTTGCTACTCCTCCATTTCTTCTTCATTCTGCCATCCGCCATTTTCTTTTATCGTTCATTAATTCTTTACTTCCGTTCTTTCTACTTTTTCTGTTTTTTTTTTTTTGCTTTAATTATTCTTGACTTATTATTTCTCCGTGTATTCTTTTTTGTTTGTGTTTTCCTCTGTTGTCTTTCTTTTGTCTTTCTTTCTTTCTTTCTTTCTTTCTTTCTTTCTTTCAATTTTGTATTGTCTCTGCTTTTTCTTTTCATCTTGTTCAGGTTTTGTCTAAGTCATTACATTTACTTTCTTGTTTGTTTTTACTTTCATCTAATATTTTCTTTGAGTTTGTCTTTTACGTTTTTAATTTTTTTCTCTTTCTTTGTTTCTGTTTTGTTTATTTCTTTCTTTTTCTTGTTTTCTTTTCGTTTTTCTTTTTACTTTTCATTATCTTTTTATTCCTTTTCGTTTTTTACTTCTTTTCTTGCAATAATTCTTAATCTTTTCTTTGTTTTCAAAATGATCTCTTAGACCAATTTACTAATGATGCATACACGATTCTAATTGGGCGCCCACATTTGTGGCCTTGTGTCAAACTATGATATACTTTATAAATAAATACTTTCTTTATCTTTCAGTCGATTTGTTACTTTCCTCTTTTTTCCTTTTTTTTTGTTGTTGCATTGCTTTCTTTCTTTGCCGCGTCACTTTTACCGTATTTCTTTCCTTCTTTGTACTATACTTTTTCTTTCTTTGCTACTTTATTTTTTCTTTCCTTTTCTTTCTTTCTTTCTTTCTTTCTTTCTTTCTTTGCTACATTACTTTTTCTTTCTTTCTTTCTTTCTTTCTTTGCTACATTACTTTTTCTTTCTTTCTTTCTTTCTTTGCTACTTTACTTTTTCTTTATTTCTTTGCTACTTTACTTTTCTTTCTTTCTTTCTTTCTTTCTTTCTTTCTTTCTTTGCTACTTTACTTTTTCTTTCTTTTTTCTATCTTAGCTACTTTTTCTTTCTTTCTTTGCTACTTTACTTTTTCTTTCTTTGCTACTTTAGTTTTTTTCTTTCTTTCTTTCTTTGCTACTTTACTTTTTCTTTCTTCTTTTCTTTCTTTCTTTGCTACTTTGACTTTTCTTTCTTTCTTCCTTTGCTACTTTACTTTTTCTTTCTTTGCTACTTTAGTTTTTTTCTTTCTTTCTTTCTTTACTACTTTACTTTTTCTTTCTTTCTTCTTTTCTTTCTTTCTTTGCTACTTTGACTTTTCTTTCTTTCTTCCTTTGCTACTTTACTTTTTCTTTCTTTGCTACTTTAGTTTTTTCTTTCTTTCTTTCTTTCTTTCTTTCTTTCTTTCTTTGCTACTTTACTTTTTCTTTCTTTCTTTTTTCTTTCTTTCTTTTTTCTTTTTTTCTTTCTTTGCTACTTTGACTTTCTTTCTTTCTTCCTTTGCTACTTTTTCTTTCTTTGCTACTTAAGTTTTTTTTTCTTTCTTTGCTACGTTACTTTTCTTTCTTTCTTTCTTTCTTTCTTTGCTACTTTACTTTTTCTTTCTTTGCTTTCGTTACTTTTAATTCATGTATTTCTTGCTTTCTTTCTTTGATACTTTACTTTTCATTTCTTTCTTTGCTGATTTGCTTTTAATTCTCCCATCTTGCTTTGCTCTTTCTTTCTTTATTTGCTGCGTTACTTTTAATTCATGTATTAATTTTTCTTTCTTTGCTACTTTGCGCTTTTTTTCTTTACTACTTTACTTTTTCTTTCTTTCTTATTTTTTTCTTTATTACTTTACTTATTCTTTTTTTGCTACTTCAATTTTTCATTTTTTCTTTCTTTCTTTCTTTCTTTCTTTGCTACTTTAATTTTTCTTGCTTGCTTGCTTTTTCTTTACTACTTTACTTATTCTTTCTTTCTTTGCTACTTTGCTGTTTCTGTCTTTCTTTTTTCTTTCTTTGCTACTTCACTTTTTCTTTCTTTCTTTCTTTGCTGCGTTAATTAAAATTAACGCAGCAAATAAATAAAAAAGAAATTAATTAAATTTAATTCTTTTTTTCTTTTCTACTCTGCGTTCTTTCTTTCCTACTTTGTTTTTCTTTCTTTCTTTGATACTTTGCTTTTTTTTCCTTCATTCTTTCTTTGCTACTTTGCTCTATAATTTAGTTATACTTTTTCTTTCTTTGCTTTTTCTTTCTTCTTTCTTTATTTTTTATTCAATAAATATTTATTCTTTACTTCCTTTCAATTGTACCTAGGGTTTCTTTCGTTTTTTTTTTTTTTAACTATTGTTCCATTTATTCTTTCTTTCTTTTCCGTCCCCCACATCCTCATATTATTTCTTTTGTCTTTGATTTTCGTTTTTCTGTATTTGTTATTTTCCGTTTCGTTTTCTATCTTCCATTCTTCTTTTTCGATCTTCTTTTTCTTTCACTTATTTTCCGTCTTCCTTTATTCTTCCCGTTCTTTGGTCATTGTTATTATTGTTTTAATTTTCCTTCCTTTTTTTCTTCATTATTTTTCCTTTCCTATTTCATTCGTTTTCTTTCTTTTTTCTTTCTTTTATCTTTTACGTACATCCTCCTACTCTTTCTATTTAGTTGAACGAACAGAGATTGTTTCTCCTCCTCCTCCTTCATCCACCATTTTCTTTTAATTATTTATTCGCCGAACAGCCTTAAATGTTTGCATCACAGTTTGATAATTGTAAGATTTTTGCCTCCCCAACCCGGCACACCACTTTAACTCATTTTTTTCTACTTATATCATTGACGCAATTACTCGACAAGTTGTTACTGACAACTTCTACAGGATTTTTTCAGGGACAACTTTTTCTTCATTCTTTTTGCAATGTATCACGTTCAGTTTTTTTTTGTTTTTTACGTTCTCGAGATTTTTTCTGTTCTTTATGTTTTTTTATTCAGTCTCGTTTTAAATTAATTGCTTTTTAAATGTTTTAACGAATTAATTTTTTAACAATTTTCCCTGCCCCCAAATTCACGTTTCCAATTCCTTCTTGCGTCTTGGTATTCTTTTTTCTTTCTTTTTTTATTATTTTTTTCACCACTTTTTTTTTTTTTTTTTTTTTTTCGTATGTTCACATTTCCTTCCTTTTTTTCTGGGCGTTTATCTCTTATTTTTGCGTTTCCGGCTGTTTGTCTTTCAATCGAATTTTTTTTCTTCTTGTTTCGTTCCTAGTTTAGTTTTTCTTTTCGATCAAGAGATTGAATTTTCTTTACTTATTTTGCAGAAAGACAAAAAAGAATTGAAAAAAGTTAAATTATTCAGAGTTTTTCTGAATCAGCTCTCTACCTTTTCATGGCTCTACTTTCCACGATTCTCTCTCTATATATGTATTTATTTCAGTTTTTCTTTACTAATCTATCTATCTCAGCCTGTTATCTATCTATCTATCTATCTATCTATCTATCTATCTATCTATCTATCTATCTCAGTCGCGTAATATATATTTGTCTCAAACACTTAATATCTATCAACTTAATATCGATCTCAGTCACTATCTATCTATCTATCTATCTATCTATCTATCTATCTATCTATCTATCTATGTATCCCAGTCACTTGATATCTGTCTATCTCAGTTGACTAATATATATCTTAGTCACTTAACATCTATCTTTCTATTTATCTATCTCTGTTGCATAATATCTAAGTTGCATATTATCTATCTCCGTTGCATCATATCTATTTCAGTTGCATAATATCTCAGTTGCATATTATCTATCTTAGTTGCATATTATCTATCTATCTCAGTTACATAATATCTATCTCAGTTGCATATTATCTATCTATCTATCTATCTATCTATCTATCTATCTATCTATCTATCTATCTATCTCTTAGTTGCTTAATATATATCTATCTTCAATCTATATCTATCGCTCAATATTTCAGTCATTCAATATCTATCTATCTATCTCAGTCACTTAATATCTATCTATATATCTCAGTTGGTTAATATCTATATATCTATCTCAGTAACTTTATATCTATCTATCTATCTATCTATCTATCTATCTATCTATCTCATTCACATATTATATATCTATCTCAGTCACTTAATATCTGTCTCAACTTAATACCGAACTCATTCGCTTAATACCTATCTATCTGTCTCAATCACTTCATATCTATCTATCACATTTGTTTATTATATATCTTAGTTACTTAATCTCTATTAAATGTCAGTCGCTTAATATCTATGTCTATCTATCTCAGTTTCTTAATATGTTTTTTTTTACTTCAGTCACGTAACTTCTATCTCTCTCTCTCTCAGTCGCTTAACAGCTAGCTCTCTCTCTCTCTCTCTCTGTCACTCACTATCTATCTATCTATCTATCTATCTATCTATCTATCTATCTATCTCAGTTACTTAAGAAGTCTAATAATATCTCTCTCAGACAGTTAATATCTATCTCTCTCATTCGCTTAATATCTATCTATATATCTCTGTATCTATCTATGTATCTCAGTCTGTCCATTATCCATCTGCCTTTTTCTTTGCATCTCACTGTTAATATCTCTCCGTCTATCTGTATATCTCTCTCACTCACTCACTCAATCACTCACTCACTATCTATCTATCTATCTATCTATCTATCTATCTATCTATCTATCTATCTTAATATCCATCTGTGTTAGTATCTATCTTTATCTCTTTATACGTTTCTTTTTTGACATTTTTATTTTTACTTCTCCCTCACACTCTCTCACTTCCCCCTCCGTCTCCCTCCCACCCTCTCCCTCGCTCTGTGTCTCTCTTTTTCTCTCTGTTTTCACCTTTAAATATCTTGAAATTTTACACTTGAATACATGATCTCCTGCTCTTCACAACTCTTTGGAGCAAGGTACTGGATTACATCAAACAACGTTTTTATCCACTGAGCCATGTGTTCTCAACGAGCTGCGAGTTCAATTCCTGGCCACAGCAGAGGTGAACGAATACTTAGAGAGTTATGTTACAGAAGGGAATTAACTGAAGCTGAGATATCCTGAAAAGGCGTGGCATGTGGAACTAGAACAATGCCCCCCCCCTGGATAAATAATGGGTTCGTTTCGAAATTCTAATGTATATCACCTGAAGAAGGCCAAAGCGTACAACGACCGAAACGTCGTGAATGTGACATTCATGATGAGGACAACAGCCTGAACAATAAAATTAAGTGTAAATAAAAGTTCATGGATGTCTATTGTAAATTAATATACAATAATAAATACATTGCAAATTATGACGGGGAAAATTGATTAAGGAAATACGTTAATATTTTTGTCTACTCTAATGGTAACATATCAAGACACAACAAAATCTCGTGGTTGTTCGAAAAACTGAGAGTATAATCTCGTTTGTATTTTACCATCGACTCTATTTGAACGCAGTAAACATGGTCAAGATTTTGCCAGATCAAAAGAGAAATATAAAAGTATTGTAAACGATTTCTTCATAATAGAACTGCATTGAAAAAAGGGATTGCCGTTGATTATGAATTAATGCAAATGTGAGTGATATATTAGGTTGGTGCAAAAATAATGACGTAATAATGTCGTTTTTTGACGTATTTTTTAACGTCAAAAACGACATTATTACGTCATTATTTTTGCACCAACCTAATAATAACAGGAATTTTTTATGTATTATATACAGTGAGATAAAATGGTAGATTTCTGCACATAGGGAAATAAAAGACAGGTAGACACGCAGGTTAATTCACACAAACACAGAGAAAGAGAGAGTACGAGGAAGAGTGAAAGGGTAAAACATTCGTGTAACTTTAAATGAATTACGATGGTTGATTAAGGTCCCCAATGCCATTTTTAGATTAGACGGAATGAAGAAACTTGTATCAAAATGAAAGAAATGCATTTTCCGTTAACATTAAAGAGGTTGATTGATAAGTAATGTCTCCAGTCTTATAAAGTAAGTTTTAAACCAAACAGAATAACGAAACTAATAAAGTAGATTTATTTCTCTTCAAAATTATGAGTTTTTTCCAATCTTAAAACTACTTACAGACCCGATAGAAGAAATGAAACTGTTATCAAAATAAAGTAAATTTATTTCTCTTCAAAATAATGAGTTTTTCCAATCTTAAAACTACTTATAGACCCGATAGAAGAAATGAAACTGTTATCAAAATAAAGTAAATTTATTTCTCTTCAAAATTATGAGTTTTTTCCAATCTTAAAACTACTTACAGACCCGATAGAAGAAATGAAACTGTTATCAAAATAAAGTAAATTTATTTCTCTTCAAAATTATGAGTTTTTCCAATCTTAAAACTACTTACAGACCCGATAGAAGAAATGAAACTGTTATCAAAATAAAGTAAATTTATTTCTCTTCAAAATTATGAGTTTTTTCCAATCTTAAAACTACTTACAGACCCGATAGAAGAAATGAAACTGTTATCAAAATAAAGTAAATTTATTTCTCTTCAAAATTATGAGTTTTTCCAATCTTAAAACTACTTACAGACCCGATAGAAGAAATGAAACTGTTATCAAAATAAAGTAAATTTATTTCTCTTCAAAATTATGAGTTTTTTCCAATCTTAAAACTACTTACAGACCCGATAGAAGAAATGAAACTGTTATCAAAATAAAGTAAATTTATTTCTCTTCAAAATTATGAGTTTTTTCCAATCTTAAAACTACTTACAGACCCGATAGAAGAAATGAAAATGTTATCAAAATAAAGTAAATTTATTCCTCTTTAAATAACAAGTTTATTTTCAAGCATAGTAAACATTTAGTGTTACACATTCTTCCAAATATTTTGTACGCTTTTCTTTCTGTCCCAAAAGAAAGTAACTTCAATTTCTGCATGAAATGAAGACTGCTGACCTTTCAACGCTTCTTTTAATTTTAGAAACAACCAAATATATGCCGGTTCCAAATCAAAGATGTATACAGCATTGAGCAAGAGCTGCGGTTTTCATACATCTCCCTATTTTGGGGCTGCAGTGGTGATTTTGCGTTGTTGTAGTGCAAATAACGGGTCCAGCCTTTCAGCTCATTCACAACCAGACGATAATCGTCATGAATTGCTTTATTCTCTCATCTCTCCTCTATTTACAAGATGGCTGCCAAATTCATTTTTTAATCAGTTCACCCAAAGTAAGGCAATAAAGCCACTACGGCACAAGAGGTTACTGAGTATTAGAGAATATGAGAAAAATAGTGCTATTAAGGAGAGAAGGCAATAAAAGAACAAGAATTAAGTAGAAGCTAACGACTGATATTGCATTTAAATTTTTGATGATCAACGTTGAATTGAGAAACAAGAAGCCCGAAGAGAGTTCCACAAGCGAGAAGTGCGATAGAGGAAACTGTTAGCATAGAACTTACGGTTGCATTGAATCATCTCAACAGTAAAAGAATGACGCCTTGCCGCCAATCTAGTACCGTGCCTTAATTCCTAAAATCTAGGTAACACATAAGAAAGTTTATTACAACAATTACTACGAAAGTATTTATAGAAGAGGCAGAGAGAAGCTACGTTACGGCGGTGGGAGTAGGACCGAAAACGAGATGCCAGGTCTGGACCAATAACATTGCGGATTCTTCTTTGGTTTTTATAAAAAATCACTAACTATATTGCAGGAACAGCAGACCAGATGTGCAGCAATATTCAAAGTAATGACGAATGGTAGACTTATGAATATGCAAGATAGGTTCTGGCGAGAAAATTATTTAGCAGGACAAAGTGAACCAACTTCCTTAGATACAGACTTACGATATTGAGTCCCCCCTGCCCCACTGGGGCAACATGTGACACAAAGTCGGTTGTTTATTGTGGGTTTCCCGAGCCCGTGGGCTCGGCCCAAAAATATGCCCGTTTGAACCCGTATAAATGGGTTCAGGGCCGGTTTTACCTCCCCGAAGGAGACTCCGCCCTTCGGCGTAGCCGCCTTTGGGTTCCTCTCCGTCCGTAGACAGAGAGTTCAACCGAGCAGTCGGTTCAAAAGTGAACTACTGACTCAGATACAGACTTACCTTTTCACTTCATGTCAGCTGAATATGTTAGTCCGAGATGGAGTAATGAGTGACTCTCCTGGAGGTTAGCATTAGCCATGCTGATGGAAAGTAAAAGGGTTTTCTCAGTTGATTTAAAGAGAGCAGTTTGGTGTTTGAAGTGATAAAATTAACACGCCAGTCCTTGCCCTATTTAATAACAGATTGTAGGTCATTTTTTAGATTAGTTGCCAATTTGAACTTAACGAACCAATCAGACTTATTATTAAGACAGAAGTAAATACCTATGTCATCAGCATATCAGAAAGGCCATTTCTGAAAATTGGAAACAACGTAAGTCCAAGGAACACCTGCATTAATACAAAAAGATCTAGAAGAGTGGCCATTCAAGACAACTTTCATTTCGCGATTTGATGAGAAAAATTGTATTATTCCAAAAATTCGTCCAGAAATACCATAACTTTTAAACCTGTGAATACAGTCCTGTATGCCAAATCCTATCGCATTCCTTCAAGATATCCAAAGCAACAACCTGAGTTTGAACATTATTATCTAAAGCTTCATAGAAGCGGGAAAGCCACTAGTACACAAGGGCTTACAGAGAGTGAAAGTAAGAATAAAGAGGGTTGTTTGAGGAAAAGATACAGAGAAGGACGGGGGGGTCACGATCAAGGCATCAGAAGATGTCGATTGACTATTTGAAGATTATAGTTATCAGGGAAGCAAGTAAGAGCGAGAGAAGAAGCTGTTGGAGTAGAAGAGGCAGTTACATTTAACTGCTTCAACAGTAAAAAGGGTGGGACCGAAACGCCAACCTAGTAGCACGCTTAAATTCATGCAGTTAAATTCATGCAGTGAAAATAGCTCGTCAGCCCAGAAAATATTTGTAGAAAAGACAGAGAAGCTACATCACGTCTGTGAGAAAGTGCCAGGTGAGGACCTATCACAATGCATATCTGTCTTTGGATTTTGCCGAGACCCTTGAGATGAACAGAGGGGGGGGCGGCGCCAAACCAGTGACAGCAGTATTTAATGCAAGGACGAATGGTAGATTTGTAGATTTGAAGAATGGGCTCAGCTGGCGCGACACAGAGAACTAACTTTTGTTAAAACATCAGCATTACCCTAGAAAAGCGAACGCCATGTTGCTTATTTGAAAGAAGACCCCACAATGTGAGGATGCTTAACCAACTAGGAGTTAATTAGAAACTCTAGTACTTGCCAAAAGAGGCAGAAGCTGCATAGGTTGATGGTTAGAAGGATCATATGGTTCACCTGAGTTCTTAAAAACTGGTACTACAGAAGAGGATTTCCTACAAGCATGAAAGCAAGAAGCAAGGTATTTATTGTAGAGTTTAGAAAAAATAGGAGACAGTTCAAGAACACATTTATTCAGGACTATTGCAGGGATACCAACAAGTACATATACTTTGTGAGGATCCATTTTCGAAATGATTGCAGAACCTATGGACGGACTTATATGCATATCTTTCAATTCATTTCAAACTTGTGGCCTTGTCACGGAATAAATTAATAATCATTTGATTTTCTCTTCTGATATTTTGTTGATTTTCTTGTTTTCTCTTTTTTTTTTTTTTTTTTTGCTACTCTTTCTTTCTGTCTTTTTTCTTTCTTCCTTTATTTATTTTTTGCTATTTTTTCTTTGTTTTTTCTTTATATTTATTTATTTATTGCTACTTTTCGTTGTTTCCTCATTTATTTTTCTTTATTTTTGGTTACTTTTTCTTTATTTATTTAGTTTTCCTGCTATTTTTTTCGTTCTTTCTTTTTATTTATATATTTTGTCTCCTTTTTCTTTCGTTCTTTTTCTTTCTTTCTTTCTTTCTTTCTTTCTTTCTTTCTTATTCTATGAATCTCTATTCTTTACTTCCTTTCCATTGCATGATGGGTTTCTTTCTTACTTATTTTTTACAATATTCATACAATATTCATTTACATTAATTTTTCATTCTGCCATTTTGTTTCTTTTCGCATTCTTTCTTTCTTTCTTTCTTTGTGTTGTGTAGGAAACATACCACCCATCTTGAAGATGAACTTGTCTACAAACAAAGACGTTAAATAGCGGCATGTCAAAAGACAGAGAGAGAGAGAAGTTCTTGGCTGAGCTAGTTATAGACTACTCAGGCGATTTCTGTACCTACTTACCAACCTAATAAACCCCTTTTTATTGTTACGTGTTATTTGGCGTTTGTCTTTACTAACCCCAAATCAACATCATAACACTTTGATATTTTTTCTTTTTGCTACTTTTCTTTCTTTGTTAAGTTTGCTTTGCAACATTCTTTCTTTTTTTTTTTTGTTACTTTGTAACATTATAATTGGCAATTTAAAAAAATTAAATTAAAATCAAAAAAGCCAAAATATTTTTTTAATATGCTTGTAAAATTGTTATCCAAACTAAATATTAACACTTATGTACTAAACGCATTTTTGCTCTAACAGCATGGTAATTGTTCGGATGAGTTCTTCACTATGGTACCTAGACTTTATGAATTTAAGCGCAGTACTACACTGGTGTCGAAATTTCAGCAATATACAGTTGAGCTAGCTAGATGTAGCCGTAAGTTCTATGCTAACAGTTTCTTTTCTCGCTTGTGGAAGTCCCTTCCGGCTCTATACTTTCCAGTCAACTTTAATCTGCAAAAATTTATATGTCAATCGCTATCTACTGCCCTTTTGATTGCTCTTCTTTTGTACCCGCTCATAATTAATATTTCTGTTTCTAACTCTTCCACACCTCGTAAACCCTTGTGTTTTAGTGGCCTTACTGCCTTGCTTGGTGTGAACTCAAGATGAAAAAGATCTCAGTGGGCGAAAAATCAACTTTCCACATTCAATGTTTCCAAAACCAAATTAATGACCTTCAACAGGTTAAGATTATAACGAAACCATCATCTTAACCTATTCAAGTCTAGGGTTAACCATTATCCTCCCCAAAATGATCAGCAAAGTCAGTACTTTCAAACCCTCGGTCACGCTGACTTGTGATTTCGGGCTAGCACAGCTGTCGATGGCTTTCGAACAGTTTTATCTACTCAATGTCAGTCACAAGGCTTGGGTCATCCCGTGGAGTATGGTTTTCAGACATTTTCCAAAGGTGCCGCCCACTTGGATCCCCTCCCCAGATTGACAAAATTAAGAAACCACCTTCTTGACAAATCAACTATGATGAAATTCCAACTATGGTCTCAAGTCGGAAAGCAAACATCTTAACCACACACACACACACACACACACATATATATATATATATATATATATATATATATATATATATATATATATATATCTTTTAAAACACAAAAGTAATAATAAAAGATTGTAAACAGGCAAAAATTTATTAAAGAATTAAACAATAATACAAAACAAATACAAATAAAAAACTTACCAACAGTATCTCTATAAATCAATTTCCTTTTGACCTTTGCCATTTTAAAAAATATTCTACAATATTTTTTCGAATTTCATCCGATGAAAATTTTCTTTTGTTGTTGTAAAATATATTCACAAAAATTTTTGCTGCAAAGTTAATTTCTTTTTCAGTTTATTGTTCACAAGTAAAAACATATTTTGGAGAATAAGTTTCCAAAATTCTTTCTGCAGACACTCTTATAGTGAATTCATTATGTTTTACAATAAATTTATCTGTATAGTCATGTATAGCAAAACAAGCACAAACGAACTCTGCCATTTGGCTAGATGGAACCGTAAGACCTCCTCAAGAAAGTAGGTCAAGGTACTGTTTCTGTGTAGCATCATTACTATCATTGCCTACCATGACCAGGGAACACATATCACATTGAAAACGTTTATTTTTTAAAACATTTCTTGAATAAAGAAGAAGATGGTAATGGAAATTTCTCCAGAATTCATCTGTAGTCTTGTTGATACGTATAGCGCAGTAGTAAGGCATAATGTATTAGTTCTGCAGAAAATGAAGGATGACCTCTTGGTTTGTAATATTGACTTTTTGTAATTCTTTTAGATTTGAGTATGGTTGTTCTTCCACCATGGTTTGTATATAGTTTGGAAAATTGCTAAATCTTCTGAGTTTAGCATTATGTCCATTTATAAACAACTTTGGTAATGATATAGGGATTCCATCGCACTGGAGCTGGAGGTTAAGTTTTTGGTTAATGCGAATGCACTCTTTTATAGATGGAAAATGTGTTTCAAGGTCAAAGACTATTGTATAAATTAGAATATAACCTTCCTTTTTTGAAAATTTAAAACTGTTAGGAAAACACTTCGCTTCTTCCTAGTGAATAAAATCCTTTATCGTGTCAGTTGAAATAAAATCATGTAATTCATCAAATTGAGTCAGTCGTCATTTTGGAGGCTTTCTGAATTCCCTTGTATTCGGCAAAAGAAACAGTTTTCTTATTTTTTCTGAATCTATTGTTGGTATTGGATGTAAATCCCAATTCAGTTTATTTTGTTTTCCCTTCAAAATATATTTCTCTTCAAAATGTTTCATACAGAGAACTGAATTTTTCGTATTTTTTTCAATACGATTAACGGGTTTTATACATTTTTCTTTTTTTGGGGGGGTGGGGGGCGGTTTTCGAAGAGGAGAAGAACATATTAATAATTTTTCATTTTAGTTACATATCCATTAGAACAGCCAAAGGCAACACATTTGTTAACCATTTTCGTTAAACAAAATATCACAACAAACTTTATAATTTAATCTTTAAATGCAATAGACTATAAAGTAGAAAATTTACCTAATAGCGTTCATTTACAAAACGGGCCGTATACGCAATTGAAAATCATAAAATCGCAGTAAATCAAAGTTGTTTATAATTCGCGGATTAATAAAAAAAAACAAAAAAAAACAAATAAAATGTATAAATTTTAATGTTGAAAACATGTCTAGGAAATTGAAATAATTCCTAATGAATTCTACGTAATTGTACGTTGTTAATTTACGTTCTAAGAATTCAATTTTTAAAGTTTCAGATTAGCAATTTTCTAAGCGGCCATTCACAGTGGTTTTTGTTTACATTACATTCAGCTTATGTGACATGTGGGATCGTATAATATTAAATTTAATTGCTTTAATTGCTTATATCGATCTATTTATCTGTCTACCACAGGATGCTTATATCTATCTATCTATCTATCTATCTATCTATCTATCTATCTATCTATCTATCTGTTCTTTATCTAAGTTTGTATACATGTAGAGATACAGATGAACAGAAATCTCTCATTCGCCCCCCCCAACCTCTTTCTCTATGTTTGGACTTACATATGGTAGATAGAAAGAAGCAATCTCTATCCCCCCCTCTCTCTCTCTATCTATCTATGTAGCTAGCTAGCTATCCGAGGGAGCACTTAAAATCTTTTTCTTCTTCTTCTTCTACCTCTTCTTCTTCTTCTTCTTCTTCTTCTTCTTCTTCTTCTTCTTCTTCTTCTTCTAGCTTTTCCTTCCAATTTTCTATCTATTTTCTTCTAAATCTAATTTATAATGTGCCCATCTAATTTTACTGTCTTCATTTCTTCCTCCCCCTCGTCGTCGTCATCATCATCATCATCATCATCTCCTTCTTTTCTTCTAGCCTCAATGTTCAGTTTTGCTTCAAATTCATTCACTTTCATTTCTAAATTTCATTTCCCGTCTCTGCCGTGATCTTCTTTGCCAGTTCTCCTCCTAAGTTTCTAAATTTTCTTTTTTTTTCTTCTTTTGCTTCGTTTTCCCGATTCTAGAACTTATTCTTCTTAACTTCTTCTTCCTTCGGCAGTTTTTACTCTTTTTATTTTCGTCTTCCTTCTTTTCCTTAAGTTTTTTTTCTTTTAAAGCCATGTTATTTCTTTCTTGTACTGAAATCAGTATTTTATGTGGGTCAAGATCACTTCAAAATTTCTAGTTGTTATTTAGCTAGTTAGCTACATAGATAGATAGATACTAAAGTTACATTTTTAACTGTCCACTGCAAAATTCGAACCTATAATCAGTGGCTTGAGAGTCTAACAATTTAATCACCCTATCGCAATTGACATCCAACGAAAGAAGGAACCAGAGAGTGAGAATATCAAAAAAAAAAAAAAAGGAAAAAAGAAAAAAAAAAAGAAATATCGTGATAAAACAATGACACAAGAAAGAGAAAAGTGAAAACTTAAGTCATTAAAGGACTTGGATCCAAGAACCAAAATATAAAAAAATATATATGGAAGACTGAAAAGGTAAAAAAAAAATGTTGCAGAGTGGCTTTTGGTGAGATTCGTGAGTTTCTGATCGCGCTGTTGGGGATTGGCTGTTAAATTCGCGGGAAGATCAAACGGAAACGCAGAAAATTGGAAGCGACACAAACTAGCCGAAGGCTGCGCGACATTCCTGCATTGAAGAGAATAGAAGAGAAATGAGCGGGAATAAAAAGCTATAAAAGGGTGCTAAGTGGCTCCATAGAAAAAGTCAGGGTGAGTAGGGAATGACTGTTTGGATAAAACTTATACAAGTATTATCTTCTGATACCTAGCTATCATTTTCATATCTTTCATTCTTTTTTTTTTCTATTCTTTTTCCTCTATTTTTTTCGTCCTCTTTATCTCACTTCTTTTTTGTTTTGTTTTGTTACTCCTTTACTCTGTCTTCTTCCTTTTTTCTTTTCTTTCCTTGTTAATCTATTATCTTTTCATCCTCCTCCGCCTCCTTCTCCTCCTTCTCCTCCACCTCCTTCTTCTTCTTCTTCTTCTTCTTCTTCTTCTTCTTCAAGCCTCACATTATACCTTTTCCGTCTAATTTTCCATCTTTTTCCTGCGTCTAAATCGAATTTATAGTGCGGGGTTCTAATTTTACTTTTTTTCATTCCTTCTTTAAACTCCTCCTCCTCCTCACCATCATCATCATCATCATCCTCATCATCTGTTTCTCTTCTTCTAGCCTCAGTGTTCAGTTTTCCTTCAAATTCATTCACTTTCATTTTTAAATGTCATCTCCCCACACTCTGCCATGATCTTCTTTGCTAGTTTTCCTATTAATTTACTAAATATTTTTCATTTCTCTTTTTCCTATTTTTTTCCTTATTCAAGAAGTCATTTTTTTAAACTTCTTCCGTCTGCAATTTACTCTTTTCTTTCCCATTTTGACTTTTTTTTTTTTTTTTAAAGAAATCTTATTCTTTTCTTGTTCTAAAATCAGCATTTTATTTTTCATCTTCTTCTTGTCAAACCCGTTTCTGTTTTTTTTTTTCTTTTTCATTTTTCTTCTTTCATTCCTTCTTCCTCTTTATTTCTTCATTTTGTATTGGTCCTAAATGACCCACAAGACGTTGGGGAACCGTTAAAAAACAATCAATAAATCAATGTCGAGCCAATTTCCAGCTTCCTTTCTCATTTTCCTTCAGTTTTCATTTTCTTTTACTTATACAAAGCCTTCTTCTTCTTCTTCTTCTTTTTCTTCTTCTTCTTCTTTTTCTTATTATTATTATGTAAGTTGTCACTTTTTCTTTCTCATTTTTCTTCATTTTAAGTTCTTCCATTTTCTTCTAAAGCAGGTTATTCTTCTTCTTCTTCTCCTTCTTCTCCTTCTTCTTCTTCTCCTCCTCTTCCCCCTTCTTCTTCTTCTTCTTCTCCTCCTCTTCCTCCTTCTTCTTCTTCTCTCCTTCTTCTTCTTCTTCTTCTTCTTCTTCTCCTCCTCTTCCTCCTTCTTCTCTCCTTCTTCTTCTTCTTCTTCTTCTTCTTCTTCTTCTTCTTCTTCTTCTTCTCCTCTTCCTTCTTCTTCTTCTCTCCTTCTTCTTGTTCTTGTTCTTCTTCTTCTTCTTCTTCTTCTCTTCCTTCTTCTTCTTCTTCTTCTCTTCCTCCTTCTTCTTCTTCTTCTTCTCTTCTTCTTCTTCTTCTTCTTCTTTTTCTTCTCCTCTTCCTCCTTCTTCTTCTTCTTCTCTTCCTCCTCCTTCTTCTTCTTCTTCTTCTTCTTCTTCTCTCCTTCTTCTTCTTCTTCTTCTTCTTCTTCTTCTCCTCTTCCTCCTCCTTCTTCTTCTTCTTCTTCTTCTTCTTCTTCTTCTTCTTCTTCTTCTTCTTCTTCTTCTTCTTCAGTCAATTTCTATTCTTTTCTTTCTCACTTTTCTTCCTTTTACTTCTACAAAGCCAGTTTCTTCCTCTTCTTCTTTTTCCCTTTAAAAATAACACGCTTGAATATACCAAGGCCAACAAGTACTTTCTTCAAATCATTTAATAAACTAACAGTAGAAATAAAACTTTCGTGGACATAAAAACTATGGTAAAAATTGTCTCTTTCTTCATTGTCTGTCATGTTCAATGTTATTTAAGTCCCTTTAGATACTCCAGTAGTATCATGTACAATGGAATAGGTGCATTCAATTAAGATGTCTTTACTTGGAGTTTCTTTCTAACTGTGAAGACAAAATGCTCTCAGTGTGCTTGGTTTCCTTCCGTAGTGAATGGATAAAAGCAATGGGATAAATTTATGAATATCAAACAAAAGATTTTAGGGTTTCATTTTTTTGATGTCACCTTAATTATCAGGTTTACTAAAGTGTATTACTGATAAAGATTTCCAGTTAGTTTGAATTTTGGCGATAAATTGGGAAAAAATCGTTACTTCTGTTTTAAAATGTTTTTACCCAAAACATTTTTTCCTAAAAAATAGTTTATTTCAGGTAGCTGACATAACTTGCTTGTCCTATCTGAAAATTGATCTTTTTTTTCCAAAAATGAGCAATCACAATACATAAAAAAGGTCATTTTCGGAATCAGCACCATCAAATTAGGTTTTGTTTCATGCACCAAAAATTGTGTTGACCAATCTTAGGAATCAATTCCGAATTCACCACCTTGAAAATATTCTAAAATAAAGTTTGTATTGTAATGAAATAGAAATGATTCTAGTTACTTAATCTTTTTTAAAACTAATATAACGAAATATTTTATTGCATTTGTCTATTTTTATTTATTGTCATATTTATTATTAAAATAAATAATTTTTTTAGGCATACGTTACACTTTATAATTTTTGTAATGTAAGAAGAAAGATTCGTGGCTGTATCTATAAAATGCATTATACCGAGATATATGACACCTTGACAAAGAACATACTTTTTCGAAAATTGTAGACTGTTTGGCGCTACACAGTCACAAAGAAAGAGCTCTACTAGATAACAGAAGAAAAAACTCCACTCGAGGAAATGTATCCCCAAAAGTGGGACTTATCACGTACTATGGAAACAAAAAGACAGTCGCCTAGACCCTCACACATACAAAGGTATCTCAATTGAATCCATTACGTCTAAAATGATCTCCTGAAACAACTCCCGAAAACAGCATTCCTCTCTAATAGAAAAATGTATACATGCTATGTTGACCCCATAGCAGAATATGACCTCACCAAGAGATGTCCTTTTCTCATCCATTAGAAACGTCCTCGCATATTCTGAATCCACTGAATTCAAGGATCTAATAGATAAATATTATCGGTTCAACAAAATCATACATTGGCGAGGATCTCAATCGGGAAACATTTCTAAGATCATCAAATATACGATATGGAGAAAATGAACAAGCCATTTTTTTTATCTTTTCCTAGACTATGCTCTACGCAGAAGATGTGAAAAGATGGGCACTGATTATTTAAGCATTCTTTATCACATCTCAAATGAATGAAATTAAAAAGCTAAATGAAGGTTGTCTTGAAAGACCACTCTTCTAAATCTTTTTGCATTATTGCAGCTGTACGTCAGGACCTACATTGTTCCGAATTTCCCTCAGTGAACTTCCTGATGTCATCAGTTCTCCATTCGGTATTGATGACACAATTATCTAGCTTTATAATTTATCTTTTTCTCGGAGTGAAAAGTGAATTACGCTAACCGGGTGGTCAAGGACGCATTCCAAAAGCTGGGCAGAGTATTGCGAGACAGGAGGATTTCTTTGATGACAAAGAAAAGAGTACTGAGCTCTTCTGTGACATCTATCCTCCTTTACGACAGCGAATGTTGGACGGTCTCCTCAAAGATGAAGAAGAGACTCGAGGTAACGGAGATTTGGTTCTACAGAAGGATGCTGATGATATCATGGACCGAGCGTGTGAGCAACGATGAGGTCTTGGAGAGGATGCAGAGAAGGAGGAGGATTATACTTAACATCAGGAAGAGGCAGCTAAAATTTCTGGGACACGTAATGAGAAAGGAGGGCCTGGAGAATCTGATACTCACAGGTTGAATAGAGGGAGAGACAAGAGAAAGCAACGCATGACATATCTGGCGGGCGTAAGCAAGTGGATGAGAGAACGGGAGGTGGCAGGGGGGACGAAATATATTGAGAACTAAAAGGAGGAAGGGGAAGTGGAGAGATATGAT